TTATTCATAAAAGACATACAAATGTCTGATTATGTGTGATAAAACTTCATCTTCCTTAACCATCCAGGAAATGCAGATTAATAGAAATGTTATTGAGCTATCAAAATGACAGACATCAAAAATAGTAATGTTTAATTTTGGCAAGGATGTGGTGGTCACCTGAGTATTCTCATAAACAGCTAATGTGGGTAGAAATTGGCACAACCTTTTTGGAAGCAATTTGGTCATATGTATCAATAACTGTAAAAATCTTTTATCTATTTGTCTATAAATTCTAAAGTCTATCCTAAGGAAATAATCAGAATTATGGCAAAAGATTTTGGTTTAAACATGTTCGCTGCAATTATCAATAGTTAAAAAAATTAAAATGGAATATCCAGTAACAGGGGAATACTGAAGCACATTCTTGTACATCTAGACTAGGGGTTGAAAACCTTTTTCTGTAAAGGACTAAACAGTAAATATTTTTGGCTTTGCAGGCCATAGGGTCTTCGTTGCCACCACTCAACTCAGCTGTTCCAGTGTGAAAGCAGCTTCAGATAATACACATATGAATGAATGTAGCTCTGTTCCAATAAACTCTGTTTTAAAAACAGGACCAGATTTGACCATAGGTCAATACGCCATAGTTTGCCAAACCCTGATGTATGTGATAAAATGTTACAGAACTGTTAAAAACGGTTTGAGAAACATTTAGTGACTAAGTTAAAAAAAAAAAACAAACTTAGAACACTATATAGAATATGATACACCAAAATATTAATTAGAAGAAAATTTTGGTAGAAAATATACCAAATTGTTTATGTCAATAATAACTTGATGCTTGAACTACCTATCTTTATTTTCTTCTTTATACTTTTTTTGTATTTTTCAAATTTTCTCCACAATAAATGCATTTTAGTTTTGTAATTTAAAAATAATTTGCTTATTTTTCTTTAAAGCTTTGACATAACACAAAGAATCAATAAAAACAGTTCTATTGGGATGGCAGAACTATGGATGAATTTCAAGAAATACTTCTATGGTATTTAAAGTCGATTTAATAAGGACATTTACTACGGCATTAGTGCAAACTCTAGTTGTGTTCATAACAAAAGGATTACTTGATTCTCTTTAGAAATAAGAGCTCTGTGAAAAAAATAATAAAATAATTATAAGACAAATTAACTCCAGAGGCAGAAATGTGATTTGATCAAAGAGATGCATTGCATTTGTTTTCAGAATCAAATTTCTTCTATTTCCCTGCTAAAGAGCATTTGTCTCTTTATATTTTTAGAGTTGCAGATATCATACTGGCTATTTTCTGATGCTTACTAGGTAATTTTAGGTGGCATTGGCCATTGCAGATGAATCTGGAACTCACTCTGAATGATGCTGGAAGCATGGGGACCTTGCTAAGCATTGGTGGTGGCCAGGCACTGTGCTGGCATTTTACACAGGGGATCATGTTTAACCCTCACCCCATGTCAAGAGGGAGGTGCTACTATGCCGATTTTACAGATAAAAATGTTGACATTCAGGGATTACTTTGCCAAAATCACACAGGATATGGATCCATTTCTGTAGGACATTAGAATCTGCGTTCTTGCTACTATGTTATACTCTCCTCATTTTGACCAACATGTTTTGAAATTTTACGCCTAAAAGGTTTAGTAGGACACTAAAGTGGAGCCAAATTTTAAAAATTTTTTCTCAATAGTAGATCTTTAAAATGTACATTTTCTTTCAAGTGGCTGACATTTTTCCAAAATTGGTTGCCACGTTGATGCCAAAGATTGAAAATAGAGAATTTGTGTAGGGCTAGAGACCTCAGTGCCTTTTGTTGATCCATATGTAACTGGACATAAAAATGCCTTCAGTTGTCACAGGACTACTACAGGATTTAAAAGTGAGAGAATGGAAGTGAAGGTCATTCTCAAACTTTAGCTTTGATCCTGGGGAATTTATAAAGAGAGAGATTCTCTGCTTTTTCCCTGAGAAGTTCTGCTTCTGCAGGTCTGGGATGGAGTCCAGTTTTCAACAAGCTCCCAGGTGATTATGATTCAGGTGGTCCAAACACACTCTCAGAAATATCAGGGCTTATGGAACTTTTCTAAAGGATTATGGGCAGATCCATTTGGTTCCTGGTTTAGGCTGAAATACTGTGTTGTGTCTTGAACATGTCTAATTGAAGAGGTTGGATTGTTTGCCTCTCCCCTACCCACCCCCATCCTGGAAGATGGCAGTTCAACCATGAGAGTGGAAAAGGCAGGTGTGAGCCCATTCACAGAAAAGACAATTTTGGGGACTACAGCCAAGGAATTGGTAAGAGTCACTGAGTGGATGTTCTGCTTCTAGAAATTGATCAAGTTGAGCAAATTTTAATTTGCCTCTGATTTCACTGACTTGTATATTAATAACATAAAACAATGTTTAGTTTCAAGTGGGGAAGCACAAGATTATTCTGAGGAAAAAAATCAAACATGCTAGCAAAATTATTTAATAACACTTTGCCAATAAAGATGGGTATCATTCTTGAATTTATTTCATTCAAAAGACCTTCCAAGTTTTTGGAACAGGGAAGATATAGTTGAGTACATTTGGAGAAGCACTGGCATGGGAAAAGTGCCTGTTTGCTGTGTGGGGTATGTGTGTGGCATTAAAGATGGGGTCTCCATCTGATGAGAATCCATTGCCTGGATTCAAGGATGACCCACTTATAGAAGCAAGAATTTATTCCCAAAGGGCTCTCTGGTCCTCAGATACTTGCCTTTATAACATTTGCCTTCCCTGGGAGCCAACCTATGCAAATGATGCTGTACTGCTCAAAGCTGGTTCCACATTGTCCAGGGCACATGGCTCAGTGGAAAGCACTGGCTTGGAGTTTGCAGACCTATGTTTAAGTTCCAGCCTCAGGGCACCGGGGTGGCTCAGTAGGTTAAGTGTCTGCCTTCGGCTCAGGACATGATCCCAGGGTGCTGGGATCGAGCCCCATGTCGGGCTCCCCGCTCAGCGGGGAGCCTGCTTCTTTGTCTCCTCCCTGCTCGTTCTCTTTCTCTCTCTCTCTAATAAATAAAATCTTAAAAAAAAAAAAGGAAGTTCCAGCCTGGATACTTACCAGGTTTTTGCCCCCTTGAGTAAGGCATATAACCTCTATGAGCCTTTGTTTCATCATTTATAAAATATAAATAGTGAATAATTAATCAATAAAATTCTTAGGGCATATGTGGGATCTCACGTAAAATGTCATAGGTATATATACTTTATAAATATATATGTATGACATAAATAGTAAGTAATAATGATGATACTTTTAATAATTATCACTGTGGCAATATCTAGGACTGTATTAATTTGTTCTTCTCTGTGAATCAGGGGCTAGATACAAAGAATTTTCTTTTAAATAGCCATAAAGAAAAGGTAAATCATTATTCTTTGGGGGTGTACTTGTTAGTTTGAAGATGATCAAGCATTTGGCACTCCATGTGGCATATAAAATTGTTGACCAGTTAGGTAAACCAGTTCTTAAAGGTTATAAATCAAATATAAGGTGATGTAAATATAAAGTAATATAAAGTCTTATGGGACTTAGAAATTGTCTTTGTAGGCAATTACAAAAATGACATTTAAGATGTGTTTTGGGCAATGCTATTGAACAAGGATAGTATTAAAATTATTATCATTTTTTAAAGATTTATCTGAGGATCAGAGGGAGAAGCAGACTCTCTGCTGAGCAGGGAGCCCGATGTGGGCTCTTTTCCAGGACTCTGAGATCATGACCTGAGCCAAAGGCAGAAGCTTAACCGATTGAGCCACCCAGGCACCCTGGGATAGTATTAAAATTATTAATATGTTTTTCACTTTGTACCTCTTTGTAGGGTGAACCTCACCATTTCCAACCAGAGGCATTAATTGCCTTAGGAAGTATTAGAATTATCATACCAAAAGTGGAGACAGAAAGAAAGTCAAGGCTTTGGCTTCCAAAATTGGAAATCAGAGTTAATTGTGAGACTTTATTAGGAGACAGAAGAAATTTCTAATGTCTGATTTCTCATATCATCCCCAAATACACCAAGAGCAAACGTGGAGGTCTTAGAGTATTATTATACTTTATAGTGAGGATATAGGATCTGACATGAGGAAGCTGGAGTCAGAGAAGAAGGGGCAGTAGGAAGCCCTCTCTCTGCTGAAAGAAGGCAAAGAGAGGCAGAGTTAAGACAAAGAGCGGACCGCGTGTCTTGTCCTTTTGTGTCTTTCAATATTCCAGGAGTGAGATGAGGAAGCAAGAAGCACAGAGCTTGAAGACATACATGTGCAAGGGGTTCACACCTCACTTCTCAGGAAATTGACAGTGTCATTTATTTGCCGTTGCATGCTGAACCTCACATTCAACATGGCACTAGAGCAAGATGGCGCCAGACACCTCTAGATTAGATGTACGGAGACATTTGGGCACTGGTGTGAGACAGTCTCTGGTTACTTATGTCCTGACTATGTTTTATGCAGCAATGTGAAGGTGTCTTAGATTCCAGTGAAAAGGCAGAAGCTTAGAGTCTGGACAAGGAGACCTTACTTAGAAGGGCCTTTGTGACTGGAGGCAAATGCAATGAACTGTGGAATCCTCAGCAAGTAACAACAAAGTATTCCCAAGAAACTATGAAAAATTAACCACGCATTGGTGGAAAACAGCACAGAGCCCACACTGGAGTAGGTATCCACATCAGAGACCAGCGGTCCTCAGAGAAAAGGACCAGGACCAGATAGATGTCCTTACCCTGCTGCTATAACTTTATGTACATTTCCTCTTGTGAACAGATACCACCAAAGGAGCTTCCTAACATTCTGGCTTTGCAGGTTTAGATTCTACTACACTACATAATACCACCAGAGTATTATCTTTTCTCAAAGTGAACACTTTGAATATGACCCCATTCATTCAGATTTATGTGTATTGTTACGTTTGTTAGCGACTATTTCTCTGTTTTGGTCGTACCTGGTATGTGCTTGCATGCTTTACTCACCTGATTCTCTTTCAGTGTCATCTGCCCCTGTTCTTTACACCCAAGGAAGGTCCTAACACATCTAAAAATCTTCTCGTTTTGTTGCACTCTCTGAACAAAGTTGGCCGGAAAGAAGCCAATCCTGTCTTGAATTTTCCCCTGAAAGGAAAAAAGAGGCATGCATCCACAATTGTAGCATTTGTTGTAATTACAGTTACCCAGGGATTCTTTTTTTTTTTTTTTTAAAGATTTTATTTATTTATTTGAGAGAGCGAGAATGAGAGAGAGTACATGAGAGGGGGGAGGGTCAGAGGGAGAAGCAGGCTCCTCGCTGAGCAGGGAGCCC